TTTGCCATTTCCTTCTCCAGCTCATATTACAGTTGAGGAACTGAGTCAAACAGGGTGGTGATTTGCTTAGGGTCATCTGTTTAATAAGTTCTGAGGTCACATTTGAACTTGGGAAAATAAGTCTTCCTGACCTCAGGCCCAGCACTCTATCCACTATACCACCTAGCTGCCCCAATACTTTTATTACATAAACAGTAGTTTATATAGTTATATCTATTAAGCTTCAGTGGTTACCTAATTGTATTTATCCTTGATGTTAACATATATAGTGCCTGGCACATAGTAGGTGCTTAATAAATACTTGCTGATTGAATGTTATGAACAATAAGTTCATGTTCATCCTGCATCTGTGAAGAAATAACCTAATTGTGATGGGGTTTAAGCAGAGCAGCTGACAAATTATTGACTTAATTTCATTCCCCCAAAGTAAACAACAAGAGCTACTGTTCTGGGCCAGATTCTGACTAATAAAGAGGAACTGGCTTCTGAAAATAGGAATAATAAGAACCTTAAGAAGAAATGACCAAGACATCTTAGAGTTCCTGATGACTAAGGAGGTGAATTTAGGGAATAGTTTGATATCCACTCTTGATTTTTGGAGTAGGTATTTAAAAAAGAAAGACCAAGTAGGAACCTCTTGTCTAAGATTATTTTTTCACCAACGTATATTATGCTTTATTTTGAAAAAGTTTTCTGATGTCTTATATTTTTATATCTTTCATTTTCTTTTTTTAATTAAACATTTTAAAATAAATGAAAATCTACATTCTCTCCTTCCCCGCTCCCCTATTGAGAAGAAAAATAAATCTCGTTACAAACACATACAGTCAAGCAACGCAAATTCCTTCATTGACCATGTCCAAAAACCATTATGTCTCATAATGCACTTTTATTTTCCAATATAGTCTTCCCTCCCTCCCAGCTTTACCTTATAAAGACAAATAAAGAAGAAAAAAGGGGGGGGGGAGAAAGTTCAGCCATATTAACCAATGTGCCACCGACAGTATATACAGTGTTTCATATCCATAGTCTTTCGCCTATCCGAGTAAGGGGGAAATACATTTCCCTATTTCTCTTCTTTGGTTTCATACCTGGTTATTATAATTACATACCATTCAGCTTTTATTTTTGTTTTTATTTGCATTTATATTGTTGTAGTTATTATGTTTATGGTTTTCCTAATTCTCCTTATTTCATTTTCCATCATTTTAGATGTCTTCCCATGCCTCCTTGTATTCCTCATATTAGCTATTTCTTATGACACAGTAATATTCAATTACGGTCATGTATCACAATTTGTTTAGCCATTCTCCAGGCAGTTACTTTGTTTCCAGGTCCTTTGCTTCAAGCCTTTATTAAGCACCTACCATGTGTCAGCCATTGTACTAGGTACTCAGGATACAAATTCTGTAATGAAGAATGAAATAGTCTCTGCTCTTAAGGACCAACAAAAAAGAAAAAAGAGCTGTCTAAGTAAGTTAGTCAGCATCATTCATCAAGCACTTACTATGAATCAGGTAATGAGGATACAAAATAAAACAAAAACAGCCCCTGATCTCAGGAGGCTCCCATTCTCCTTTTTTTAAAAAAAATATGCTTTTATTTCATTAAATATTTCCTAATTACTTGTAAAATTTTTTTGATGTTCATTTTATAAAATTTTGAGTCCTAAATTCTCTCCCTCCTGCCACTCCCTCACCCCTAGAGAGTGCAAGTAATATGATGTTGGTTATACATATGAAGTCATAGAAAATATATTTCCATATTTGCCATGTTATAAAAGAGAACACATATGCACGAAAAAGAAAAATAAAGAAAGTAAAAAAAGCGTGCTTCAATTTGTGCTCAGAGTTCATCAGTTCTCTTTCTGGATGTGGATAGTATTTTTAATTTGGGTCCTTTGGAATTATCTTGGATCATTGTCTTAATCAGAGTAGCTAAGTCTTTCACAGTTAATTATTGTTATAATATTGCTCTAACTATGTACAGTATTCTCTTGATTTTGCTCACTTCGCTTTGCATTAGTTCATATGAGTCTTCTCAGGTTTTTCTGAAATCAGCCTGCTCATCACAATAGTGTTCCATCACAATCATATACTACAACTTGTCCAGCCCATCCTCGATTGATGGTCATCCCTTCAGTTTCTAATTCTTTGCCTCCACAAAGAGCACTGCTATAAATATTTTTGAATATATAGATCCTTTTCCCTTTTCTTCGATCTCTTTCGGATACAGACCTAGTAATGGTATTGATGGGTTAAAGGGTATACACAGTTTTATAGCCCTTTGAGGGTAGTTCCAGATTGTTCTCTAGAATAGTTGAACTAGTTCACAACTCCACCAATAGTCATGGTATCCTCACAGTAGTAGGAAAGTTGGAAAGGAGAGAGGCTTTTGGGGAGAAAGATAATGAATTTTTCTTTGGACATGGTAAATTTAAGATGTCTATGATATTCAGTTCAAGGTGTCCAGTAGGCAGTTTGTGATGTGAAACTGGAAGTCAGGAGAGAAGTTAGTGCTATAAATGGATATGAGAAACTGATATGTATATACAAGGAACAGTTTTTCTTAGAACATGGCATAAAAATTCCCCAGATCATCCTGATCACACACATCTATACTTATTTCAGTGTTTGTAAATGTCTTTCCTAAAATGTGCTGCCCAGAACTGAACACAATGCTTCACCTGTGGTTTGACCATAAAAGATCGTGGCAAAAAATCTCTCCTCCTCTTCTGGTTGCTTTTTTTTTCTGCTCTGGATGCTTTCTGCTTGCTAATGCTATTGGCCAGTCCCTTCCAGGATTGCTGTGCACAGAGAGAGAAAGCTTCACATTTAGGATATTGAGGATGTTTATTCCTGACCTCACTGCCTTATGAGTCTCTGTGTTGGCTCTGATTCTAAAGCAGCCTAGGCAGAAGTCCCAGGCTACTACTAGCCTTGCCTAGAACTTGCAGGCTAGGGCTGAGCAGGCTCAGGGTTGGGGTCAAGGGAAGTAGGACATTTTATAAATCCGCCATCAGCATAGACCCCAGCTTCTTTTAAATATACCAGTAAAGAATAAATGTGTCATAAGGATAAGCAAAGTGGTTAGTGGAATGCCTTTGGTGTTAATGACTGTACTTATTAATAAGCTTATCAGACACTGAGGCTGTTTCTGTTCTCTCTGGGGGAAAGGAAGCCAGTCTAAGCATTAATGACCTAACATCCTGTTAGCTTTTTGTGATGATTGAAGTTTATTTACCCTAACCTTTGAGCTTTTGCTTGTGAAATATTGTTTAGTCACGTCTCCATTATCTTGTACTTGCGCATTTGGTTTATTTAACACAAGTATGGAAATTTTCACTTGTTCCTATTAAATTTCATCTTACTTGATTTGGCTGAATAGTCTAACCTGTGAGGATTTTTTTGAAAATTTTCCATTCACTTTGGATCCAGAGTGTTAGCTGTCCATCTTGGCTTTGTGTTAGATTCAAATTTTATAATGCAGCCTGTTGTAATGGATAGAGAGTTGTCCTCAGAGGCAAGAAAACCTGAGTTCAATTACTGCCTCTGACATTCTAGTTGTATAATTCTGAGGAAGTATTTTAACTTTCAGTGCCCTAGATAACTCTAAAAATATAAGTTGTAGAGATGATGCCAGCCTTCATTTTGGTTGATGGGGTTTATACAAATGAAATCATAGACCCAGTCTCTATCTCTTTCTTCACATTTGAAGACTGACTTTATCATCCTAAGTGTTAGCTCCTCTTCCTGGCTTTGAATTAGCTGAAAATTTCTTAAGGATTTCCTTCTTTTTTTTTTTGATCTAAGACACTGATAAAAATGTAAAATAGCACAGAACCAGGGAGAGGTGTCTGGGTGTATTCTAATAGATACCTTTCCTCAAATTGACTTAGATTTGTTAATGAGTACTTTTCAACTAATTTTGAATCCACTTACCTATACCGCAATCTAGTGTGCATCTTCCTCGAATTAGGAGGCCAATTTATCAGTGACCACAGTAATATAAAGGAAATCAACATTGAAAGACTTTACAACTCTGATCAATGCAGTAATCTGTGGTTATTTCCAAGGACTTGGAGGTAAATTATGCTGCTCACATCTCAGTAGGGAGATGTTAGACTACAGATACAGAATAAGGCATATGTTATCAGACATAGCAAATATCTAATAATATGATAATATAATATATAATATATAAGTGTCTGATAATGTAATAATAAGCAAATCCTTAATTGTGCTTTTTTTGTGGGGGTAGCAACTTCTGTTGGAGGAAGAGTGAATTGTAACAGCAATGAAGAAAAAATAAATATCAATAAAATTTTTAAGTCAGTAATGGAATCATAAATCAGCCTTAGAAATAAGTAAGTGGTTGCCTCTCTACTGTAAGCCGGTGAGAATGGTGAAATGTCTTTTCATCTTGGGATGGTTATCTCTGGCACTGCAAAGATAATAAATGGAAGGTATATTTAAGGTATTCCTTGCATCCTTAGTTTGACAATTCCAGAGATTCCCATGGTTTAACACAACCTCAGATGAGTCATTAATACCGAGCTCTGCTACCATTGATATATTTTTCAAATTTATTTTGTCATAACCAAATCAGGATGCTTGGTATTGCAACAAAATTATTTTACATTAAAGGAGCAAGATTGCTCAGTCATGCATGTCTTCTCTTTTCAAATGTATGTAGATCCTATATATTTATTGTTTGTATGTAGTTGTTTTCATATTGTTTCTCCCATTAGATTGTGATGGGTGTGAGGTAAAACCTCAGAGCTGTTTTAGTTTAAATTCTTTAGTGATTTGGAGTATTCTTTCCAATGAATGTTCCTCAAACATTTCTCTTTGATGTTAGAGGAGGCTGAATATTATGGGGTATCCTGTGATACCTTTTCTGATTACGTAGAATTTTATACTTGATTTAATTTTATCTGTAGATTCTTAAGAAGTAAAGTGTTTCAAGATATAAATTATTTTACTCTTATTTTCTTGCAGTGGTGGCATCAGCAAGTTGATTTTCATTCTGCCTTCTTATGCTATTTGGCACAAACTGTACCAGACATTTACTTTGATGAAATAGACCCAGAATTGGAAAAACAGGAAGAAGCTGTTCAAATGATGATATTAACTGCACTGGAATGGTACTTATTTAAAGAAGATCCAGTTATTTCCTTAGAGAAATTGAAACAAAGTGGAGCATTTCAGCTTTGTGGGAAGGTTTTCAAAAGTGGGGAGACAACATACTCTTGTAGGTAAGAACTGGAAATTTATAGAATTAGTGTATTTATGGTCTCTGCATTCTTCCTGTTATCAGTAGTATACCTTTTTTTTAGGTTCCTTATCAACTTAAGGCTCTTTATAAAACATTGTCATTTTATTTAATGTGTTTGTTCTTTTCAGGACTTATTAATGGTCTGTGACTAACCCTTATAGCATATTTGTTAGAGTCTCACTCACAGTTAATAAGCCATCATCACATTTTCTCTCTCTGTTGTTTCAAGACCCAAGCTATGGCTTTTGCCATTTCCAAAAAGAGAATGGGGAAGTAGGAGAAACTTTGCTTGTTTTTAGCTATATAGTGAGGGTTGTGTAGTGGAAAGGGGAGGAGTGAGTATGTAGAGAGCCTGATAATGGGAGCAGATTTACTACCAGGGCTCTTTTCGAGAGCTGTCCCCTTAAAGCCCAGTCAGGTACAGAGAATCTTTTTCTTAGTTATTCCTACTTGAAACTTGAGACTGTTTTGGCCTTTGAACTTGAGTTTTGGCTTTTTTCTTCTGTCTAAAAACTAACATGAGATTGTAAATATCTTATTCATTTAAGGACAGATTATTTTTTGTTCTGTTTTATTATAGAAATTTCTGCAGAGGAAACATGAAAAAATACATGTATAAGAATTATACAATATATTTAGAAAAGGAAACAGTTTAACTATTAGAATAATTTGCTTTTGGGGTTAGACAAAATTACTGTGCTGTGTAGTAAACTTTATTCAAATTCTTGAATATTTTTAATTTAATCAGAATTACAGAACTGTTAAAAGCACTCTAGAGATCCCATTTATCCCAACTCCCTCATCTTATAGGTTATGAGGAAACTGAAGCATAGAAGGGTTAAGTTGAGTCAAAGTTGTTAGGTTTTCACAAAATGCTATTGCCATACCATAATGAAGTTAGATAAGACTTCTTTTTTTAATATTCAATTTAATTTTATTTTATTTTTAGGCAGTTGGGGTTAAGTGACTTGCCCAGGGTCACACAGCTAGTATGCGTCAAGTGTTTGGTCTGAGGTCATATTTGAACTCAGGTCCTCCTGACTTCAGGGCCGGTGCTCTATCCACTGCGCCACCTAGCTGCCACAGATAAGACTTCTTTTGAAAAAGTTTTTAATGGTTTTCTGTTTTATCTTTCAAAAATCGAGGCTGTGTCAGTGTTTGTCTTTTGGAACATCATGTAGCTGTTTTCATAGAGTAGTGTTAGCTGAAGGTAAATAATGATTTCTTAGAAGAGTTAACATGCTAATTTAATGTATTGTGCTACTACTTAGGAGAATAAAGTCATTGAGTTATAAAAAAGAACTTATTGTCATGTTTAGCTTTTTAGGTAATAGAATCAAGCAGTCTTTTCCAATTTGCAGCAAAGGAAGGTGTAGAAAGGTTAAGTGAGATGTCCAGGGTCACAAGTTAGCCTTTTCTTTTATTTTTTCCCCTATAACAGCAGTTTAAAAATAATTTCTCTAGATTTTTTTAGTTTTTTAAATCTACTTTAGAGCTTTTCAAGAAGTTCACATCCTTGCCCAAATAATTCGAAAAAGATATTTAGCAAAGAAACCCTTCTATTTTGCTGGTTTGTTGTTTTGTGTTGTTGTTTTTTTTTTCTTTACTGAAGATATTAAGATGATTTATTTTAAAGTTTATTATTTTGAGTCAGTAGAAATGAGGTTGGGTCTTTCTTTCCACAAACCTCAACTAGCAATATGGATCTCTCTGTTAGTGAAGTACTTTTTACACGATGTTGGAACAGCAGGTAATTTTCTTAGTTAGACAGGAGTGTTCTGACATTTTAAATTAAGTCAGGTCAGAAATTAGCCATACAAATCACATAATATAAGGTGAGACTATTAAGTAGTGATTATTAAGTAATCACAGATTGTCTAACAAATAAAAAAACTACATGGAGATGGAAATTTTCAGCTATGTGCTTATTCTAGTCAAGCTACCCTTATTCAAAATATTTTTGGAACTTTTTGGCATTCATCTTTGGAACCAATTTATGAGTTGCACAAGAATGTGAGTTTCATTACTTTATAGTCATATCCCACCATCCTTTTTTCTACCTCTTTCAAGTAGTATCATTCAGTTGATCACCCATATTATTCACCAGACTTAGCTCTGAATAACTTTTGTCTATTTATAAAAATAAAATTTACCCTAAAAGTGTGAGGATTTGCTAACGATGGGGATATTCTGCTTCTTGCCTTCCCTGCTCTGCCCCCAACCAAGAAAAATGCCATTGGCTCTGAGGATACTTGATACAGTAGAAAGCTCATTGCATTTTGAGGACCCAGCTTCTAGTTGTGGCTATGCCATTGGCTCTATAATCTTGGACAGATATTGTAATCTTACAAAACTTTAGTTTCTTCATCTGTAAAATAGGCACAAAAAATATACTATGTGGAGCTGTTGGAAGGAAAGTGATTTGTAAACTGAAATATATCTTATAAACATAAACTACTCTTTATTGAAGGCAAAGACATTAATTTCTGTATATAAGTGTGGTATATTTCTTCAAAAATCATTTTTGAATTTTTTTTATTTTATGATCTATGTAGATCTGTGCTTAAAATGATAATGATCTAGAATTTGGAGTAACTAAATCTCTTCTTTAGGGACTGTGCAATTGATCCAACATGTGTCCTCTGCATGAACTGTTTCCAGAGCAGCGTTCACAAAAATCATCGTTACAAGGTTTGATTGAATTTTAAATTGTGTTTGGTTCTCTGACTTCTTAAAGACTAAAGGTTTGGAATAAAATTTTGCCCTTGTTTTACATGTTTATTTGATTTTTTGATGATTATTAAGATTTTTCTTTTTAATAAAAGTATTAAGGTGATTTGAAAAGTTTGTATACATTGACTTAGAATTTTAGAGCTGGAAGGGGATCTAAGAGAGACATCAGCTTGAGGAGGTAGAATTTTTCTTTTGAGATTTTCGTCTCTAACAAACTGATCAAGAAATCTACTTCCTAAGTCTTCCTAAGTCTCTAAGAGTTGAGCAGCTTCTTAAGGTATAGTTCAGATGAACAGTACCCAGGCCATAAAGAGGAATGAAGGAATAAGATCATCACAAAGTAGTGATACCGTTTAATCAACAAAACTTTGTTTGCTTTTGAGGCCCTCCAGTTGACTGTTTTCAGCTGTGGGTAGTAAGACCTGTAGCTAATGAGGTAAAATACTCCTTTGGATAGCATATTTTACTTAACTTTCTAATTTCCTTTGAACAAGATTTGTAATATTTGTATTTGTTATTAATAATATGTTATTTGTAAATAGAAGTATATACAGCCATTTACACATATAATATTTTTCTACAGACAATACAGGAATGTTGGAGTTAAAAGTCAGAATACCTGGCTTTTGGCATTGCTGCATAATACCTGTGTGACTTTGGTCAAGTCACTGAACCTCTGGGACTTAATTTCTTTATTGGTAAAATGAGAACCAGATTGCTTCTAAGATCCCTTTTAACTCTAAACTGATGATGAAGAAGCTGATGATGAATATGCCCACAATAGCTTATTAGTTCTTTCTTCTGTCTCCTCTGCCACTTGTTACTTGTGTGACCTCGGGCAGACAACTTCACCACTCTCTGCCTTGATTTTTCATCTGTAAAATGAGGGGGTTGGACTGAATGACCTCTAAAGTCCCTTCCAGCTCTAAATCTACGATCTTATATTTCTTCCTGTTTTGGTTTGTTCATTTACTTTAGAGCTCTAATTAATCAGGAACTGAATAGACAGGATTTTTTTTCCCTGTATTGTCTGTCCTTTTAAGAGAAAGGCAAATCCATAAGAAAACAAACTGGTGAAAGGGATTTATTTAAAAATGCAGTAACCAGGATGTTATATCCTGGTTATATATGCTTTTCACAACCTGAGTTCAACCTTTCTTTCCGTCCTTATAATGTATTATTACTCTTTCCATGTACTGTCTGGTCTAGCTTCATGCACCAGTCTGGTCCAGACTTCTTTCCTTGCATCACATATGACATTCTATCATTTATCTTTGCACCTTTGCATACATTGTTATCCATTCCTAGAACGTATTTCTTCCTTACCAGTACCTCTTAGAACTAGTTTCCTTCAAAGCTCAGCTCAAATATCACCTTATAAATGAGTCCTTTGTGATCTTTGCAGCAGTGTTAAGTGCCTATACCAAAATTAACCCTGTATTTTTTTTTATCTACTTACACATCTATATATTGTTTTCCCCAGTAGAATGTATATTCCTTATGGGGAAGAATTGTTTCATTTTTGTCTTTGTATTCCTTATATCTAGCACAGTACTTGGCACATTTGTGCTTTAATAAATATTAATTCATTGCAGTATCTACAATATTGGATAATGGGAACTAATATTTGTAGCTTTGAAATATAGTAAGATACTTAATTGTCAAAGAAAAATTCAATTATCTTTAGTATGTTATATTTACAAGGGTGGGAAAACAGGTTAAGTTCATTTAAAAAAATTTTTACTAGCAAGGTTTAAAAAAAATTGATTGAATGTTTAGTTACATTAGCCACAACACCTCATTTTTTAAGCATACCTGTTATTTGAAATTTTTTTTATAAATTAAATTTGTACTATTTGTATTTCTGTTTTCCTCCATTGTTAAAGCTAATAGAAAATGTGTAAAAGTGAGAAAAAAAACCCACTTTTTAAAAATTGTCCTTTTAAAATCCAGACTTCTAGGGCCCATGTTTTTCTGTGAAGTGCTAGTTTTTATTAAATCATTATGCAGTTGAAATTATTTTTAGGTACTTAGAAATGCATATAAAGACTATTACATGTGAAATGCCACTAGGCATTTTTGTTGAATCATTTTGTTTGTCCTTATTTTTAATATGTTTTAATTTTAATAAAAAAGCATTCTTATTTTTTGTTTAGATGCATACTTCTACTGGAGGAGGATTTTGTGACTGTGGAGACACAGAAGCATGGAAAACTGGCCCATTTTGTATAAACCATGAACCTAGAACAGTAAGGTCTAATGAGGTAAGGTTACTGTTTAAAATAGAATCATGTCCAAATTTCCAAGGTTGGTGGAGGTTTGGTAAAAAACTATAGTATATATTTAGGAGCATGTATTTATAGCTAGAAGGGACCTTAGAGGTCAGTTATTTCAACCCCCTGTTTTCTAGGTGAGGAAACTGGGCTTATAGTAGTTAAATGGCTATAGCTAGTCAGTGACTGAGATGGGACTGAACTTAAGTTTTTCTGACTCCAAGTCTAGCTCTTTATCCATTTCATTGAGATGCCATTGAACTTCATGAGGCATGTGCTCTCTCTCTCTCTTTTTTTTTGTAAGGCAATGGGGTTAAGTGACTTTCCCAGGGTCACTCAGCTAGTAAGTGTCAAGTGGGCATATGCTCTTTTGTTTCTAGTTGAATTTAATGAAAGTGGCATTTCTAGGATTTACTATTTTAAATCTAGAGAATTATTGCAGATGAAGTAGAACTAATGAGGTAGTATAGTGTAATTGATACAGTATTGATTGGAACTGGGCAGACCTCTACTGAGAGGAATGAGGAAGCAAATGGTAGAAGAGGCTTGAGAGAAGGAAAGGTTTGGATCAACAATTTTGCATAGTGTGATAGTCATTTAGGAAAGAGTAAAAGGATTCATTATCTTGCTTATGCGAAGGTCCAGTTGAATTAGATAATATAAGGGGGAAGGGAAGGGAATAAACATTTATTAAATATTTTCTAATGTGCCAGGTGCTGATCTACTTGGCTCATCAAATATTATTTCATTTGGTAAAAATGTGAATTTTAATCACTTGATCAAAATATAAATTTTTAGTGACCTAGTCAATACAGTTATATGATTTTTCTTTAGCATTTTTCAGTAGTACATGTAAAAGAAGTAGGTAGTTGTATACATGGTAAGTGTAATACAGGTTTGGGGTTTGGCAAGGTATTAGGGGCAAAGGATTTGAGTAGAGACATGAATGAGAGATCTGAGCAGAGAAGACAGTATGCAATTGAACTGGTTAACTGTAGGAGCAAGATTGAGAATGGAAGAAAGTGAAGCCAGAGCATAGGCACCGAAAACTTTGAGAGATGGAGAAACTTGAGGATGAAAAATAGTTTTAGGAGGAAGGCACAGTCAGAGATGGAAGCATAGGAGACTTTGATCAGGGTAACTTTAAGAGTTCCTGATCAAAGAAGTAGAACACTTATGAAGGATGATAAGGTCATGGGTATGATTATTTCTGTGTCTGGCTAACAGGAAGTGAAGGTATAGATAGTAGAAACTGAGGGGGTTGATAAGCTAGGAGACTCTAATATTTGAGTGGATATCAACATGTGGATGCCCATTTCCAGGTGGAGATAAGAGCCTAAAGTCCAGAAGAGAGATAAGGACTAGAGAGAGATTTGGAAATCATCAGCGCAGAAGTTGTAGTTGAAATCATGGGAGTGATTGAGATTGCCAAAAAGAGAATATAGAAATAGAAGAGGGCCAGTAACAGACCTTTGGGTCTGTGGGGAACACCCACATTTAACCCGGGAAGAAGATGAGCATTCATTTAAGAAGTCTGAAAAGGTATAGTAACAAAAGGAACCAGAAGATAGGAAGAAAGGAAACAAGCATTTATTAAGTGCCTACTCTGTGCCAGGATCTGTACTAAGCATTTTTGAAATATCATCTCATTTAATCCTCAAAACAACCTTGTGAAATAGGTGCTGTTATCTCTATTTTTGCAGGTAACTAAACTCGATAAAGGTTAGACAGTTGAAAAAACTGAGCTAGACAAAGGTAAAGTGATCTGCCCAGGGTCACACAGCTAGTAAATGTCTGAAGTTGGATTTGAAGTTTGGTCTTTCTGACTCCAGGATCAATGCTTTATCCATTCCACTACTTAGTGATAAGCTGTGCTAGAAACTGGGCAGTGGTTAAGGATAGTCAGGACTGGAAAAAGGCCATGGATTTCACATGTGGCAATCACTAGTGACCTTTAAAAGCAGTTTCAGTGATGGTAATAGAAGCCAGATTGTGAGGGTTTCAGGAGATAGTTTATTATAAGGATGGGGATACATAGGGTATAGACTGCTTTTCCAGAAATTTAGCTCTGAAGGTGAGTTGAGATGGGATGTTAACCTGAAAGGACAAGAAGGTCAAGGGAATGCTTTTTTAGGACTAGGAAAACCTGAGCACAGTTGTAAGTAAATGGGTTGGAGGCAATGGTGTGGGACAAATGAAAGATTAATGACAAATAGCGGATGACTGTTAGAGCAAGGTTCTAGGGGAGGTGGAAAGAAATGGGGTCAAGAACCCAGACAAAAGGATTAGCCGTAGTGGTAAGGTTATCTTTTCTATATGTGGAGGTAAGGCAAAGCCAAAACATTAGGAGTAGAAGGAAGGAAGATGAAGGATTTCACATTTGACAGTTTCAGTCTTCTCAGCTAAGTAAGAGGCTGCTATTCCCAATGTGGAGTGGATGGTTTATAGTTGGTGGTAAGAGAAGAGGGCAAAAGGTTTGTAACACGAGAATTTAGGGTTAAGGATAATAAGGTAAGGATAAGAGATAAAGAGTTGATAAGATTGGAGTAGAAGGATTTTTGAGCAGCAAGAGCCTAGTTGATATTATATACCATGATTTTGTAGTGGTTGAAATCAGGTCAGTTTTTGTCATTTGCATCGGAGATGTTCAGCAACCGTAGTACCAGAATAGAGCAATCATATATCAGGGGTTTATCTAGTGATAAAGATTGATATGTCAGGAGTGGTGGAAGATGAGAGTTGGACAATTTTAGGGCAGCAGTTAGCGAAACATTAAAATGGCAAACCACAGAGTCAAATTTGAGTTTGTAGGCTTATGATTACAGTCAAGAAGATGGACTGAAAGACTGGAGAACCAGAGGTCATAAGGGCAAAGCATAGGTTCAGTGTTAGTGAGACACTAGGGAAGATGAGAAATGGGACATTGTGCTTTTAAAGAGTAGAATTTAAAAGTTTTAGATCTCAGAGATGGTACCATTCTGAGAGAAGGTAAGGCTTAAATATGACCATGACTATATGTCACATGGAAAAGGAAATCATTAGGGTTGAGGAATTTTGTGGTCAAATTATCACAATTATCATCAACATGAATATTGAAGTCCTTGAGGATAGAGATGGAGAACGCAGCATGCTGGAGTGGGTATGAACAATAGAACTTGGAGTCAGAAGACTTGTGATTGAATCCTGCTGTAGACATTTAATAACTTCATGATTTGGGACAGATGGCATAATCCAGAAGCCTCGATTTTTACATCTGTAAGATAGGAATAATACTTGTACTACTTACCTACTAGAGCAACTGTTTTGAAGAGTAACACTGATTAGAGTAGGACTGAAGAGTAGTGAAGCATTTAACTGGGGTATAATGCTTCTTCTCCAGTGAGTGTGCAGTAAATTAGGGCCTATTTTGCATGTATTGTAAAATTAAGCATTATAGAGATTTTTTCTTCCTGTGATTAGGGTTTGTATGAAGGACTTGTACTGCTTTATGTACGGTAGAAAGTGTGTGGTAATTAGATTAAGAAAGAATTGTTTATATGTGCCATCTAGAAAACTAAAGTAGCTTTCTTACACAGAACCTTCCATTACATTGATTTTTCATGTAATAGGATCTTATTTGTAGATCTCCCTTCAGTGACTTTATTACTATTTTTTACAAATATTTTTGTTAATCTTCAGACCTGCTGTTGTCAAATATCCTAATTTCTTCTGAAAAACATCAATATAAATCTTAACAAAAACAATTTATTTGCTATGTCTTCTTAAGACCTCTTTGCTTTGTATGAATTTTTCCTTATTTCTTTATGTTTCATGAATTTGTCATTTTTATAGTACTATAGTATACTATTACATTGTTATACCTAATTTAGTCAATTCTCAGTGGTTGGGCATTTTAACTAATTTCCTATTTTTTACTCAGGTGAAATAGCTGTAAATAATTTTGCATAGATAGATTTTTTTCTACCTGTCTTTTACATACAGTCCTAGTAGTAACCACTGAATCAAGGTACAGGTTTTTATATTGTATATCACATATATTTTGTATACAGGTTTTTTTGTTTGTTGGTTAGTTGGTTGGTATTTGGGTTGGGTTTTTTTTGCTTTTTGGTGAGGCAGTTGGGGTTAAGTGACTTGCCCAGGGTCACGCGGCTAATAAGTGTCAAGTGTCTGAGGCTGGATTTGAATTCAGGTCCTCCTGACTTCAAGGCTGGAGCTCTATCCACTGTGCCATGTAGCTGCCTCTGTATACAGGTTTTTATAACCCATGTTTTATATTGCCGGATTGTAAGTTTTCTGCAGAGGATAAGTTTATACTCACCATCAGCAATGTAATAGAGTTCCTGTTTGTCCACACCTCCCTCCTACATATTGATTTCTTATTGTTTCTAGGCTTTACAGACAGATTTAGGCAGCATAAAATGGCCTATTTTGTTTTATTTTTTGAATAGCAAGTAAACCCATTTAGCCAAGCAGAGATCAAATGGAAATTAGAGAAGTTATGCAGATAAATTTTGTTGTCCAGTCATTTAGTCATATCTAACTCCTCATGACCCATGGACCATAGCACATCAGGCCCTTCTATCCTCCACTATCTCAAAGTCTGTCCAAGTTCATGTTCATTGTTTCCATGATATTATCTGTCCATCTCATCCTCTGATAACCCTTTTCCTTTTGCCTTCAGTCTTTCCCAACATCAGGGTCTTTTCCAGTGAGTCCTGTCTTCTTATTGTATGGCAAAAATATTTAAGCTTCAGCTTCGGTATTTGACCTTCTAGTGAATTAATTTCTTTAAGTATTGACTGATTTGATCTCCTTGCTGTCCGAGGGAAAATGGCCTATTTTAAAGTTATTTTAATTTTCATTTTTTTGATCATTGGAGATTTTTGAATAATTTAAAGAGATTATTAATAATTTTGTTTCATTATTCAAAAATTGTTTTTTAACTGGAATAATTAAGGCAGAGGGTAGCTAAGTAATTTGTTAATTGGTCG